CACTCCAGCCTAGGGGACAGAGTCATACTCCCGCCTGTGTACTGCTTTCTCCCAGGCCTAGAGCTGCTCCATAGTCCTGTGGCTTCTACCTCACTCACCACCTTGTTTTCTCATTCCATTTCTCTTCCTTGGACATATTTATTTTGTTTTTAAGCCCAGCCGAATCTTTTTAGTTCTTTATTTTCATACATTATTTATAGTTCCTCCACATTTGGGATAGACTAGGTGCTCCAAGTATGAATTATTCAAACAATTTTGAGTGGAAGCTTAATGTAAACTTTTGAAGAGTGAAAGAATTATCAAAACTCTTACAAAGCTAAAACAATAGTTTTTAAAATTTTAAACCCTTGTACAATATAAATTATCCTTATCCTCAGAAACCTTCTATCCTAAAATAACAAAAGAATCAAATTATCTGAAAGCTCGTTCGTAGAGGTGTTGAATAGAGGCTGAGGAGTTGCCATGTAGCTTATTGCTGGGCAAACCGCATCTTAGTCTAGAGCACTTTCGAACTGAACTCTTATGTTTTCCCTACTCTGATTTCTCTTTTTAGACACACATTTTCCTCCATGATTGTGGAAAAGTTCACCCAGGATCACCTGTGGCTCTCGGTGGCAACTCGGCATCCCTGGAACCAGTTCACAAGAGTCCAGCGGCTCTCCTGCTGCGTGACGCTGCTCCTCTGCGACATGGTCACCAACATTATGTTCTGGAAGAGAAGCGGCACCAGTGCCAAGGGAGACGAGCACATGTGTATGAGCCCTACCGTGTGGTGTTGGTGGCGTGCAGCCCTTTCGCTGCACTCTACCCTCCTTGACTTCAGGGTTAGAAGCAGAGTCATGATGCACCTTCATTTCCTCCCCTGCCCTAACATTAGAATACTCTAGCAAATTTTCTCACTGTTCCCAGTCGTTAACAAATGGAGCAGTCTACATCAGGATCTTTACTGCCGTGATAATTTTCTATCCCTACATAAACATAGTTAAATTCCTAAATAAACTGATAAACCTGGGAGAGAAATGACTTCGCGATGATTTTAATTGTTGAGAATGAATGAAGTTCGACGTAACACTTTTCTTTCAGTGAGTCCATTCGCTGTGACCTGGTCCGAACTGCTTATCAGCGTCCAAACTGCTGTCATCCTTTTCCCAATCAATCTTGTCATTGAGCAGCTCTTCCCGTTGATTCAACCACAGGAAACGCTGCCTCCCTTACCCCCGGTCCAGGCCTCCTGCCTCTCGGATGCTTCTGTCCAGCCCCTCTCTCTCACAAAGGTGGTCGAGGTAAGGTAAATGACACGCTCCCCTTCCCTACGTAATGGGAAAGAGCAGTGGAGAGGATCTCTTGGAAAGCTCTCAGGGTCCTTTTACCCTTAAAATCTTTCCCCTAATTCCTGTCCCCCGAGCTGTGATCAGTTGTACCTCTAGCTTTTACTCTTGATTATAAAGTATTCTGAGGACAGAGTGGGAATGCATTATGTACTACTCGAGTTGTTTTTGTTTTTGATGTTTGATCAAACTTGTCCCTTCTTTCATTCTATATTCTCTCATAAAACTGGTGACTGCTCTCTGAAATATTAGAAAATGAAAACTTGAGCTTTGTTACACTAAGCCTATCCCCCTCTGACTGTAAGAAACAGTCTTGCCATCTGTAATCGCTACCCAGTCCTGGGTTAACGTACAGAAGACTGATTTTTCTCATCTTGTTTCTACCTTCAGGAATTAAAGGAAACTGTGGGATTCCTGCTCAGGAGAAATCCATATCTGCTCTCAAAGTGTGATCAATCTTCATGGAGTTCTTATGACATTAACAAGCTGGTGGCACTCTTATCCAGCCTAATTTATTCTCACTTAGTGGGTCAAGGTTGTCATCAGCAGACAGAACCCCCCTGGGCAAATGGTAAAGGTGGGTAGAGTTTAGTAACTCACCTTTCATCTGCCTTCCACTCCCTTGCCCGTCTTGTACCTTCTTTTTCATAACCGACAGGCATGGTACAACCTTCTGCTTGTTTTACTTTCTTTAAGCTTCCAATATAGAGCTAGTCGCTCTGATCCCTTTGACGGCTTTTAGACAATCTACCTGGTGATTCAAAGTACAGGATTAAGAAAAAACCCACAAAAATATTTTCTGTATCAGACCCCTGTATTCCATCTGCTTTGTTAAAGGCTGTTGGAACTTGTCATTCTTTCTCTTCCATGGAATGGTGAGATTATGCAGTTTACCAAACTTGAATACAGTTTGAGTCTCCCGGGCACTTACGAGTCTAGGTTGCATGTCGTGCCATTCTAGAGAAATAGCTCAATGAGGTTTTAAAAGTCTTGAGATCAAAGTTTAGAATTTTACAATTGTTAAAAATTTACCAGCATCCTCAGAGAAGACAGTAATATTGTAGGTGTTGGGTCCAATCTCCGTTAGTACAGGGAAAATGTAACCTTGTTATCAACTAATGAATTGCTGATCTCTACCACTAATTGCTACTTGTTGAAATCTTCCACTTGTGAAAGTGTCAACTTGAAATGTATTTTCAGTGGTTTCCGAAAACCACCGTCACTTCTGCTGTTACCTGCTCCGAGTTCTGCAGAGGCTGAAATCTCACGTAGGCACACTGCGTCTCACCCGGCTTCACCAGCCCTGTGACTCCCTAGATGCAGCCAGCCAGCTTCAGAAACTCCAGGAACTCTTGGAAACACATATTCTTCCCACGGAGGAAGAGCCGTCCAGGTATGCACCGCACCGGGCTTTCTTTATCACCTGTAATCCTCTCTCTCAGCTGTTGGGTACAAGATGATTCCTTCTCCTTTTGTCCTTCAGGGAGGTGACCAGTTTCCCCATCCTGAGCCCAGCAGAAGGGAAGAATCCCATCGCTAGTGGCCTGCCCAGATGGTTGACTTACATCTGCTGGCTCCTTCTAGGGGTCACTAGCCTGACTTCAGCCTTTTTTACGGCACTTTATAGCTTGGAATTGAACAAAGACCAAGCCACCAGCTGGGTTATTTCGATTATTTTATCAGTGCTTCAGAACATCTTCATCAGCCAGCCAGTAAAGGTACGTGAGGACTGGAACAAACCATTATAGTCACAGGGAGCTTGGGAAACTGAGGTCCCATGGATGTCAATCCAAGGTGCTTAATGGTTTTTGACAATTTAACAACAACAAAAACTGCAAAAAACTCAAAAAACAGAACTAGGCAGAGTGACCTTTGTTAGGGATATGTGTAAGACCATCAGAGGTGATCCAAAGATACTGAGAGACATCGTTGAACAACTTAACACATGTCATCACAAATCATTTAACAGTTTAAGCTTTCCTAGCCAACCACATTAAGAACTACAAACAAAAATATGAATATTAACATTATGTAGACTCTTGGGGCCCTTCCAGATCCCCATCATTATGGAAAACAATGAGTATAAAATGAGTTAATTTTCAGTTTTCCATAAAAACAAATGGCCAGGTAATTGAAATTTATTAATACCCACCTTTACCTTTTATAATATGTGATGTCATCTTCTTGGATCTGTGCTGTCTGCTCATTAAGTTTTCCTCCTCCTGTTTTCCTGCCCAGGTGATCGTCCTCACATTCTTCCTCTCACTGGTGATGAACAGGGTGCCATGGCTTAACAAGGAGAAGGACCGACAAACGAGGAGGGTCTTGGCACTCTCGGGTAATTCAAGTAGTTCTAACTACTATCTACTTTTGCAAAGATCAAATTATATCAGACTGGCAGAATTCTAACCACTTTACTGACACATTTATCTGTCTGCTGACAGATGTATCCATTCAAAGATCTTGTCGCTAATTATCTGGTTCCTCCTCCTCTTCTGCCCAAGGCTAATCAATGTGTCCCCAAAACCCTACGCATTCCTCCCTAGACATCACACCCTCTCTCCATGCTGCTGCTCCCCAGCATTCTAGATCTCCTTCTGAATCTTTTTCTCTCCTGAGCCCCAGGTACTATTTTCAACTGCTCACCATCTGCAGCTGAGTGCCTGCAGGTGTCTCAAATTAAAACAAATTGTTTACCTGCCCCACAAATCCGCTTCTTCACTATATTTTCTCATTTCAATCAAGAGCACCGCCATTCTCTAAAAATGTCACAGTACCAGGTCCTAAATTCCTCTCTTATTCCCCACATTCTGTCACCAAGCCTGACAAATGCCTACCCTCGACATAAGAGCTACTCAGACCACCTGGATTGAAGCTCACAAGCTCAACACTCGGTAAAAAAGCAAGTTGTGGAAAATTTAGCACAGTATTTTAATCACGTAAAACCGATGCATGTCTCGACTAGAGGATATGTATGTATCTCCTTTATAAATTTATAGATAAAGTATAAAGAAACGCATAGGAATGGTGAACTCTAAAATTCAGGAAAGTCTGACTTCTCTGAGGAAAAGAAGAGAGACCATGATGCAGGGATACACTGAATACATTTTGAACTGTTGTGCTCTCTGCCTGAAGTGACGTTTTTTCTTATCCTCACCCTTGTCCACCTGGAAAACTCTGACTCATCCTCCAAAACAAATGTCAAATGTCACTTCCTCTGTGAAGCTTCCTCTGACTTTCTTGGGGAGATTTATTTGTTCGCTCTTCAGGGATCCCATGGTACTTGACATGCACATGCTCACATGTTTTGTGTCGTACTCTAATTCCCTTCCTCTCTCTCCCTCTTGATTTCTATGTCTCTAGATTCTTCTACTCAGTGTTGTCCGCAGACCAGCAGCATTGTCAGAAATGCGGAATCTTAGGCCTCACCCCAGAATCTACATTTTAACAAAATTCTCAGGCGATCCCTATGCACATTAAAACTAGAGAAACATTGCCGTAGAACAGCGCTCCCTCAGTGTGGTCCACTGACTAGAAGTGTTTCTTTCCAGTCCAAGATAAGCACAGAAATCGAGTGTAAGCATTTAGAAATTTATAGCAACTTGACAGGCTAATTTTATGACCATGGACTCTAATTTTCAAAATAGGGCTTGTGTTTTATATGCTTCTATTTTATATTTCATTTTTCTAGCAACTCATTTTTATACAAAAGTATCAATCCCAATGGATTGGAATTTTTCTGAAAACAGGTCCTTCACCGCAAATAGTTTGAGAAGCACTGTGTAGGTACCTTTATTCCTTATTTCTTCAACACGTAACAGGACGTGCTTACGTAGTTGCCAACAAAGGTTGGCGAGTGACCACTTAATGAAATATGACGTTTCTTTTCTCTACATTTGAATTTTTGCAGCAAAATGTTCTTCACCATTACCCAGTTCGAAAGATAAGAACAACCCCATCTACGTAGCCCCAGCTATGAACAGTCCAATGAAGCACCCAGAAAGAACTTTGAAGGAGAAGAAACTCTTCAGGCTGACTGGAGATATTCTGGGTACGGAGAGGAAATGGCAACATGTCCACACTGCAGCACACTTTCCAGGAGGGAAGGGCAGGGGGAGAGGATAAAATGAAAAATATAGAAGGGTGAAAAGGTATCTTTTAGAATCCTCACCCTGTGAAAATGGAGATTCTGGTAAACAAAGTGGTCTGATAAATGGATGGACTCCTGAACTTGGAGTCTTGAGATTTCATTGTCACTTTCTCCACCTACAAAATATAATGACAATATTTGATCATTAAATACATACATATGGGGTGGAGGGGAAATGAAAATGCTTTGGAAAATGGCTACTCTGTAGGTGCTGGGTGACTGGCTTGAACACATCTAGTGCCCTGTTGGAGTCCCTAGACCAAACAGGATAGGTTCTGTTTTATCATGCCGTCGCTCCTTGTGAACACGGACGATGGAGAGGAAGCAAGAGAGAGAAAGAGCGCATGTGCGCGCTCGTGCTTAGTTCTAAGAACTAAACACATTTTTGTGTGGAATTTTATGTATCTTATTTTAAGTAAAACTTCTAATTAGTAACAATAATTCTAGGAAGGAATTTATATATATGTGTATACACACACACACACACACATAAATGTATATAATGTCAATTATTAGGTTGAACCATGTGAAATGCCAATTTCTGACCATTTTGACCTGCAAAAGTCTAAAGGCTTAGAAAAAATAAAAATGTATAGAGTATTTCTAAGCTGCCCACTCAATTATGATATTTTTCCATCTAAACTAGTACAAATCCTCTTCCTCATCCTGTTGATGACTACGGTCTACTCTGCAAGGAACTCCAATAGATTTTACCTCCATCAAGCTATCAGGAAGAGCTTTTCTCACCATTTTTCAGAAATCAAACTTCTTGAGGATTTCTACCCCTGGGCCAATCGCACCCTCCTTCCTAACCTGTATGGGGATTACAGAGGTAAGAGTCACAGTCCTGGAGCCCAGCCATGCAAATGTGGGGTGCAATTAGTTTTCCAAACACCCCTACCGACAGTGATGAGAAATTGGAGAAAGGCCAGTGGGCTTCTTCGATATGGCTGCAACCCTGTGGGCACCCCGAGGGTCTGTTCCCTGGACCTCATCTAAGCAGGTTCAGTTACATCTGTTCACCCAGGCCCATGGGGATGGCTCCCACTGCTGTGTCCTACAAAAGGCTGACACATAAGAATGGGAATGGATTCAGTTACAGCACGAAAAGTAACTGGAGTAACCCCTGGGACTCAATCACATGTAGCAAAGCAGGCTGCTCAATGAGTGCAAAACCAGGAATACGGTCTAACTGGAAGGGTGTCCACACGAGATGATATTTTGGCCTGATGTGCAATCTTTGCCAGGTCTGTGACTGTGTCTGCATAACTTGTGTGGTTATCCAATTCAATTCCACAAACATGAATTGAATACCTGTAATAGGCTGGGAACTGGCCTAGAAGCTAATGATAAAAAGTGGATATAGTATGGTTTACCCTGGACAGTGTTGAAGAAATGCTAAAAAAATTTTTTCCTTAAGAATACTTCTTGTTCAATATTTTTCACCAGTTACCAACACTTTGTCATTACATAACTTTATATCTTGCATTCTAGAAATGATTGCATTCATGTATCTCAGAACTGGTGGCTTCCCAATGAGATATGTGGGTCATCTCCTAGGTTCCTGAGAAGAATCCAAAATATATGTTCATCTCAGCAAACATTCGTGGTCTTTTCTTAAAGATACACTCGGTGTGCTCAGGAGAGTTTTTATAGATGGCAACTCTTACTCATTGCGTCTTTTTTTTTTTTTTTTTTGAGACAGAATCTCACTCTTTTGCCCGGGCTAGAGTGCCATGGCGTTATCCTAGTTCACAGCAACCTCAGACTCCTGGGCTTGAGCGATCCTTCTGCCTCAGCCTCCCGAGTAGCTGGGACTACAGGAATGCGCCACCATGCCCGGCTAATTTTTTTTCTATATATTTTTAGTTGTCCGATTAATTTCTTTCTATTTTTAGTAGAGACAGGGTCTCACTCTTGCTCAGGCTGGTTTCAAACTCCTGAGCTCAAACAATCGCCCGCCTCGGCCTCCCAGAGTGCTAGGATTATAGGCATGAGCCGCCGCGCCCGGCCACTCATTGCATCTTGATTCTATTTAGTTCATTCTAGATTGTGACAGTTCTAGGATGAGGGAACATTCTGTTTGCATTGTGTCACTCTGTGCTGAACAAAATATTGACTAAATCAAAGCAGCTGGAACCCTGGGTGGCTAAGGTCGGTGCCATCACAGCAGACGTGGCCTCCTCGGAGTCCTTGGCCCTGTGGTACGGTGTCGTGGTCTGAAAGCACAGACTCAGAAGCCAGACTGCCCAGGTTTGCACCCTGGCTCTCCACGTACCAGCAGTGTGGGATCTTGGGTAAATTACTCAACCTTATGTGCCTCAGTCTCCGCATCTATACAATGGGGATAATTTTAGGATCTACCCTGTCAGACTGACATGAAGATTAAAAGGTTAATAAATCTAAGTGCTTGGAACAGCATCTGGCACATGATATTCACTGGGTAAGTGAATATCTGGGTAAGCTATTAGTAATATTAATTGGGGCACTTGGAGTTCTGGTTAACCCATTAGAACTGAAAAGTTTATGTGAGTTATCTGGACATACTAAAGAACAGCAAGTGCAAATCTGTGAATGTAGATGAAGAAGGAGAATTAAGTACACATGGTGTTAAAAGCAGTAAAAATTGGGGAAAAAAAAGCAGTAAAAATTGGCAATGACATGATTTATCTCTTCAACTATTAAAAATCTTGACTTTCAAGATTGATGTAGCCCAGTCCTATTAGTTCGATATTTTCAGGAACTCTGACACCCAAGCCATCTACAGATTTTTAAAAATTCACAGACTGTCATACAGAAATTTTTTAACAGATAAAAATCTGTATCTTATAAATACATAACTTTCCTGAATAGGCTAATCTAATATTTAATCACTTTTAGGGAAGGATCATTTTTGGTAGGACTTAATTAAAATTTCTCTTTCAGCATTTTAAGCTTGCTTTACTCAGGAGGCTGAGGCAGGAGGATCGCTTGAGCCTAGGAATTTGAGGTTGCTGTGACCTAGGCTGATGCCACGGCACTGTAGCCTGGGGAACACAGTAAAACCCTGTCTCAATAAATAAATAATGTGTCTTTTCTGAGGCCCCAGTTAGGAAATGGTTTTGCTTACCTGTTTTGTAGGAGCTTTTTATATATTAAGAGCTTATCTAGTTACAGACATTTATATAGATATAGACTAAGAACCTATAAAGATTAATTTAGAGAACTGATATCTTTATTATATTCTCTTCCTACTTAGGAGCATGGTAGGCTTTTCTGTTTGTTTTCATCTTCATGTGTACCCTTGAGCAATATTCAGAATTGTTCCTCATATGGTTTTTGCATATGTCTTGTTAGGTTTGTTTTATCTTTTGTATTGCTATTAAAAATGAGATTTTATTACTTTATACCTTCTAAGTAAATATTGTGTGGCCATATGAAAGCTAT